TCGACGCTGCTTCGGGGCCCTTTTTGAGCTTCTAGTCTGGAGTTACGGGATCATGTAAAAATAGAAACCCTAAACCCTAAACCCTAAACCCTAAACCCTAAACCCTAAACCCTAAACCCTTAACCCAAAACGTTGCAAAACGTGGGAAACTCGCGGTTCTCTGAGTTGCGGGGTCAGCGCTCGATCAAAATCGTTAAAGCTGCTTCCACAACCTCCTAAGACCCTTTGGGTTTAGGGTTTAGGGGAAACCCGCATAAACCCATCAGAAAATCCATAAAACACTTAAAGACCCCCATGAACACTACCCTCAAACCCTGGCGAAAGAAGCAAAAGCGCGTCGAGAACACCGTATGTAAATCCACCAGATTCATGGTGGTCTAAGCTTCATCCCAAAAACCCTAAACCCCAAACCCCAAAAACCCTAAACCCCAAACCCGAATTCCTACAGCCGAATCCCTAAACCGTAATTCCTGAATGCTAAATCCCTAAACCCTAATTCCTAAACCCTAATCCATAAAACTAAAATGTCTAACACAGGGGCATTCATCATTGGAATAGGGTTTTGGGGTTCCTTATTATGGCTCTAGTATAAGAGACCCCCAAACCCTATTCTAACTAGCAAGGCCCCTACATTAAAACAAAAACCCTAAACCCTAAACCCCAAACCCTAAACCCTAAACCCTAAACCATAAAACAAACAAAGGCCCTCGAGAATGAACCGGCCTGGCCTTCTCCCTGTCTTCGATCTTCCTTGCCGTTTGCGTGGCGGCGAAAGAGTGCGCGAGGAGGAGCCTGCCGTAACGTTCTTTATGGGTACTATAGGGTTTAGGGTTTAGGGTTTAGGGTTTAGGGTTTAGGGTGCCGTACCTTTTTTTTTGGTACTACAGGCTTCTATAATAAGGTTTCCTTAAAAGGTATTATAGGGCTCTACAATTTAGAAAGGGTTTATAGAATTGATTGTTTGCAATTGAAGCATCTTTTCTACTTGTGTTTTAAAGAGTTCGCTAGAACCTACAGTGCTTTTCCATAAATGTTGCAGGTGCTTATAGGAATTGATCGGGGAGCCGACAGAACAAGAAAAGGATTTTTGCGCAAGGGTTCTATGGGTGATTTGGGGCTGTGAGGGTTGGTGCATAGGACACCTAAGACTTCGACTCGATTTTTGGGAGATAGTCCATACTTGCTGTAATCACAACATCTTATTCATATAAGGGACAGACTTGCAGACCCACTGCATAGGCCCTCGGCCAGTTTCCGCACTACTCTCGTGAAGTGGACCGGACTGGAACCCCCTAAACCCTAAACCCTAAACCCCAAAACCCTAAACCCTAAACCCTAAACGCAAAACCCCTAAACCCTAAACCCTAAACCCAAAAACCCTAAACCCGATGCTCCCCGGAGCCCACCTCTTGAACTCTTGGAAGCACTCGTAGATGGATGACGTCTCTCCTCATGATCATGACGCTGCTGAAGATGTGGGTTTGGGGTTTAGGGTTTAGGGTGTGGGATGAAAGGAACATCGGAATGGTCACTTTTCCCATCCATGGCGACCCAGATGTCAGCTGGTCACTCCAGAAATCTGCCTGCACTGAGACCCTAAACCCTGAACCCTATAAACCCTAGACCCTATACACCCTAAACCCCATAAACCCTCAACCCAACAAGCGCAAGACCCTATAAACCCTTAACCCTAAACCCTAAACCTAAACCCTCAATCCTAAACCCTCAACCCTAAACCCTAAACCCTAAACCCTAAACCCCATAAACCCTGACTGCGGCATTGACGTATGCAACCGGACGCAGGCCCCCTCCCCAAGGGCTCGAACCCAGGCGCTTGGCAGACTTCGACTTCTGGTGCCTCTGATGGCTTGCGAGGTGTGGATGCATGGTGTGTGTAAAGATAGATAGATAGATAGATAGATAGATAGATAGATAGATAGATAGATATACATATATATATATATAAGTATTATGATATCAGACTATACTTTATGTACCATATGATATATATCAGATGCGATCTATATATATATATACATATAATGTACATGAGTTCCCGACAACAATGTTGGTGCACAGGCCACGTTCTGAAATACTGCGTTGCTGAGGAAACAGGCTTCTGCAACATGCCAAGGGATGGATCCGTTTCCCATGTTTCAATTGCACTAGTAAACACCTCAAGCTTGCTATCCACCTGCCAATTCTACTGGGACCGCCAGGAAAATACGGCAGACGAGGCACATCATCTCCAGAAGCTCCTGCAAAATCCGAACCTCAAGACGTCTGTTGAGTCGATAGGGGTTAGGGTTTAGGGTTTAGGGTTTAGGGTTTAGCGAGTGGCAGCCCGCAGAGGCCGGGAGCTGCAGGAAGGGCTCAGGGACGAATCCACGCTGAGGTTGGGACCATGACCGCTGTCTTTCGTGCGGTGAGGCACATCGACTGCAAGGTCATCTTCACTGTGATGATCATGATAGGAGAGGGACAGAAGAATGCCACGTCCTCGCCTCAGCATAGGCCATCAGATCATCGAAAAGATCCAGAACCACCTGCCAAAGGTACTTGCTGTCTCCAGTGGACTAAAGGGGCCGGCGAGCCAGCTAGCAATGGATACTGTACCGCGAGTGTCGGACATGATAAGTATACTCGCGTGCTTTATCATCACTATCATTCTGGCTATATGGGTAGTTGTCAAAATTATGGTCCCTTTTTGGGGTACCCTAAATAATAGGTGCCGTATTAGTATTATAATAAGGACCCAAAAAGTGAGCATACTTTTGACAACCACCCATATGAAGATTCGCAGTACTGATGACAATAATCAACATCATATCGATACTAAGCACGACATGGCCAAAGGGCTTGGGGTGCCTAGAAGCCCGGTGCTAAAGGCACTCCTTGCAAAAAGACTCTTCCTGCAAGGCTCAGCAAACGCTCCTCGGGGTTTGGGGTCCTTAAGCTCAAGCTTAGGCCGGAGTTTTTGTTTGCTTGTATGGTATAAGGAGTTTAGGGATTATGGCTAAGGGTTTTCGCGACCATGAACAAAACGCTGGTATCAGTGATGCCAAGGACCTCATGGTGATTGATTTTGCTTGTTAGGGGCCTGCTAAATCCTCATAAAGCCAGACTCATTAAAGGGCACTATGCGTGGCGATTGTGTTCACCCTCAGTGTAACCCTAAGGGTCCATGTACCCAAATAGTATATACTTTGGCCTCAATGTACTCCCTATATAGGTACTTTGGGGCCAAAGTATATACTACTTGGGTACATGGACCCTTAGGGTAACGGCATAAGCCGTGTCCTCAGGGCTAGCCGGGGTCCAGGCTTCAGAGTTCAGGGGTTCAACAGACCGATTGGGCCTGAGAAAACCTCAGAACCACACCCTCAACCCATAAGCCCCAACCGCTAAAGCCTAAAAACATTTTAAACCTAACCCCTTACGCCTAACCCTTACCACCCCGCCCCCCCTCCCCAAAAAAAAAACTATAAAACCTCAGAAAGCCCTAAACCCTACCCTAAACCCTACAAACCGACAGGGCCTGAGAAAACCTCAGGAAAGCCCCCTAAACCCTTAAACCCTAAACCCTAAACCCTAAACCCCTAAACCCCAAACCCTAAACCCTAAGCCCCCGGGGACCTCCTGCTGGAAAGCGCGGCCGAGGCGATCGCCAAGCCCAGCAGACGCAAGCAGAGACCGCGGAGCTGACGCCAAGCTCTTTAAAGGGTTTAGGTTTTAGGGCTTACGGGTTTTAGGGTTTAGGGTCCAGAGTTTTAGGGTTTAGGGTCTAGAGTTTTAGGGTTTAGGGGTTTTAGGGGTTTTAGGGTTTTGGGAATTTAGGGTTTAGGCTTTAAGGGTTTTAAGGGTTTAGGGAGCTGACACCAAGCTCTTTAAAGGGTTTAGGGTTTAAGGGCTTTAGGGTTTAGGGTCTAGGGTTTGATAAAAGGTTTAGGGTTTAGGGAGCTGACACCAAGCTCTTTCAAGGCTTTATTTCTGGCTTTCTAGGTTGTATGAAGGCTCTTTAAGAGCTCTATCGCATTTTAGTAATGCGTTTTTGTTGAAATTTTAAAACGTATTTATGGGGCTTTAACTGGGCTTTGTAGCTTGTATTAGAGATGTATAGGTGTCATAGGGCTTTATCCGGGCTCTAGAATCAGAAAGGAATGTGAGATCGGGGCGGGCGCCCCACTGAACAGTCAGGATTTGGGTTTTGGGTTGATGGCTTAGGTTAGGCTGTAGCTTTTAGGGTGGGCTTAAGGGGTGCATCCTTTCTTCCGAGCGTCCTCTACGGCTACCTGGTTCCAGATACAAGGCTTTGGACAGGTTTGTGACACATTTAGAGCCCTTGCCAGGCTTTATACGAGTTGCTAATCTAAACCCTAAACCCTATGCCCTAAACCCTATACCCTAAACCCTATACCCTAAACCCTAAACCCTAAACCCTAAACTCTAAACCCTATAGGGCTGGGGGTTTAGTGCCACCCTAAACTCATAACCCGAAGCCTCTCAACCTGGTACGGCCTTCCCCTCAGATGCAACCACCCCCTATCCCCTATCACCCTGAACCCATGAACCCATGAACCCTTATCTTGGGTTTAGGGTTTAGGGTTTAGGGTTCCCTATCACCCTGAACCCTTGAACCCATAAACCCTCCTGGCAGAGAAGTCTGAATAATTTCAAGCATATCCCTTCGGAGTCCCCAGACACTGGTATCATATATTCCCAAATCCCATTCCAGTCAATGCCTGGAGCCCGCGTATCAAACCCCGCCGCAACAGTCTAAGCTGTAAAGTAGTAGTATTATTATTGCTGTTGGATTATTACCATTACAAATATGTTTATTCATATTGTTGTTATTATTATTATTGTTATTGTTATTGGTACTATAATCAGTGCAACAGTGTAGCATTGTTGTTGTTGTTGTTGTTGCTAATGTTTGGGTTGCTATCATTACTGTTAATATTATTTGTTATGGTTAGGAGCCTTCCAGGCCCTCATCATCCGTCCCGCTCGCTGCCTGCCGGGCTACAAACTCACCGGCCAAAAGGAGGGAAGGTTCACATGGGGGTTTCCGAAAATAGGGGACCCTAATAGAGCATACCAAATTGCAGGATCCTTTATTGTAAGGACCACAGAATAAGGTACCCCTTCTTCTCCGCAACTCCCATATGGGTAGTTCTTCAAGTAGGGTCCCTTTGTAGGAGCCCAGAAGAAGCCGGCACCCTGATAAGAAGGACCCTACAGGCGAGCCTAATTTCGAGAACTACCCGCATAGTGGCCTCACTAAGTAGACTAGGGTTGTGGGGAATACGAAAGCAGACAGAATGAGGAACGCTAAGAAATAACATGGGTAATTATTTCGGGGGTCTAGATTAAGGTCTATGGTGTTAAGGTTTTGGGGGCCCAGAAGGCTCAAATTGCCCGTTGCAGCAGGGAAAATGATTGAAACTTTGTGAAACTTCTCACTGCGAGTAAGAAAGTACTCCTGTGCGATAAGTGAGGGATGAGACCAGGTTTCTCGTAGAGATTTACGGGATATTCTCCTTACAGTGCAGGAGCCATGGAATTCAAAGGTGAGGTGAAATAAGGGTGTGAGTTGAGGGCTTCACTGTTGAGGGTTGCAAGTTTGGGGCGCTAGGGATTTCAGGGTTTTAGGGTTTCGCCGTTTGGAGCTTTAGTGCTGTGAAAGGTTTTACATACTCTTGGCGTTTCGTTTTGTGAACCAATCGAGGTGCGGTGCAATGAGCCCGAGCCCTGTAGGCATACATGGCCTGAAGCAAAATAATATAGGGGCCTTAATAATTAGAATAGGGTTTTGGGGCCCATTATAATTATAATAAGGAGCCCCCAAAAATAGTATTGGTCATTATTTCGGCCCCTCGATTACCAGTGACCAGCTCATCCCCTTGTGATCGCTGCAGCCTTTGTCACTGACGCAAATGCTTATGAAGCCCTCAGGACCCTTTGGGTTTAGGGTTTAGGGTTTAGGACCCTTGTAAAGCCCTTGTAGAGCCGTAGCCTCTTTATACAACCCGTACGAAGCTGCCACACCGTCAGGTTCAGGGATTTCAGAAAGCTCCCGATGCAGTGTTGGGGGAAGTGGGTTCGGTCTCGAGCCCAGCCTTAGTGACTCCTTTCACTCGAAAACCCTGCAAATCCTATGAGTATAATTACAAGATGTACAGTAACCCCTTTAACACCGTTTCTTTGCCCTAGAACCTGCCAACTGCCCGTCAATCAGAGACTTTTTTCGCGGAGGCCATGGTTAGTTTAACAGCGCAGCTCGCTCGGTAGGCTTCGGCAGCCGAAGCACCTGCAACAAATGCGGGAATTTCTGTCCCTTTCTTCGGCCCCTGTGTAGCGATCCCATGATACGTGAGGGGTCTTCTGAAACTCACACACAAGGTTCACGTAGCCGAATTCAAACCAAAGGCGCTCAACCCTAACCCTAAACCCCTAAACCCTAAACCCAAAAGCCTAAACCCCTAAACCCTAAACCCCTAAACTCTAAACCCCTTGCTCTGCGAAACATCACGGCAACTCTGTCGGAGCAGCCCGCCAACTCACGGGCCCCCTCAACTCTGAGCCCCAAACCCATAAACCCGTTCTCAAGCGCCTTCCAGACTACCCTAAGCCCTAAACCCTGAACGCTACACCCAAACCCAGAACCCTACACCCTAAACCCTATGGAACTTTCCTTCTGGAACCCTTCTTGGAGTTCGAACTTAAATCGCCTAACTCCTAAATCCTAAACCTTACTTGGAGGATCATGGGACTTAGAAAGTATGGCTACAAGTGCCGCAGTTGTGGTCATAAGTAGTTATAAGTACAATCACCCTCATAATAGTAATACCCTCAGTTACTAAGTCCCATGATCCTTGAAGTAATTGATACTCATGTCCCGCAATAGTTCGTAGAGAAGCATACGACGTTCATGGAAGGAGTGGGGTCAAAGTACTTGATCATCGCATCCCGTGAGCCCCAAATCCTAAACCCCAAACCCTAAACCCTAACCCCGAAACCCTAAACCCTGAACCGTGAACCCTAAACCCTAAACCCTCAACCCTCACCCCGAAACCCTAAACCCTAAACCCTAAGCCCTAAACCCTAAACGCTAAAATTTCGTGAAAGTGATCCTTACAGTAGCCCTTTATAGCATTTCCTCTAGATCCCATTTAAAGGAGCCCGAAATCCTACGTTGCCATACTTTAAGTATCCTAAACCCTGAACCCTAACCCCGAAACCCTAAACCCTAAACTGACCCGAAGCTTTCGTGAAAGTGCCCTAAACCCTAAACCCTAAACCCTAAACCGATCCTTTTAAGTAAAGGCCTCCTTAGAGGTCAGCTGGGCCATGCAGAGTCCAACGGCAAGGGAGCTCGCCGACAGTGCCGCGACCTCTCCGGCACTCGAAAAAAAAAACCGTGAGTTTAGGGTTGAGGGTTTAGGGTTTAGGGTTTCGGGTTTAGGGGGTTTAGGGGTTTAGGGGTTTAGGGCATTTTGGGGGGCTTGGGGTTTGGGGTTTTGGAGCTTAGGGTGCTATAACTGCCTTGTAAAACCTGTTAAGTTAAGTGTCCTTGGGTCCTGAATAGAATGTTGTTTCCGGGTGTTGTTTAGCAATATGTAGGAACTATAACGGGAGACAGTTCTGATCCTGTTTGATTTTGCTTGATCCTGTTTAGTTTTTTTGATCCCCATCAGGCCATTTATATAAGTTAGATATATCCTAAGAATTAGCACCTTTACCAGGATTTCTAAGAGCGCTACCATCCCCATCCTGATTCGATCTCGGGCTCCGGCTGCTGTTGCCGGGTGTCGCGGCCACCGCCTGTAGCCCAGGTAAGCCTGAGATAGCTTGCTATTGCGACGGTGAACCCCAAACCCCAAAGCCCAAACCTCTGGACACCGAAAACCCAAACCCCTAAACCCTCAACCCCCAAACCTTAGTTGAACCCTAACCCCCTAAGCCCAAACCTCTTAACACCTAAACCCCAAACCCCTAAACTCTCAACCCCCAAAGCCCCAAAACCCTAAACCCTAAACACCTATATAAATCCCGAACCCCTCAAACCTAAACCCCCTGACCTTAGGGAGAGGTCCCAGAACTTCAAGGGCTCTTGATGTTAGGCATGGCCTCCTCTCTGGAAGGGCCTGTTGGGGCTCCCTATTCTTGGGCTTAGGGTTTAGGGTTATTCTTGGGTTTAGGGTTTAGGGTTTAGGGTTATTCTTGGGTTTGGGGTTTAGGGTGAGACGTTGTTGATAACTTTGCCGGAGGATGCCTCATTCCGCCGCAAGTTGCACGAATACGGCTGATGAAATACATCCTGCATTACCCATACTCAGGAATATACCATTACTCCCATAGCTTCGGGTCCTTCAGGTAAGGCAGGATTTATCATCAACAGTGCGAACCCCGAAGCCCCAATCCCCAAAACCCTGAAGACCTCCAAGCCTAAACCCCAAAACTCCAATTGCAGCCGTAATATAGGGGCCTCAATGGGGTTTGGCAGGCCCTTTTTTGTATACTATAAGTAGAAAAAAAGGTAATTACTGCGGCCCGTATAGTACTCCACACTTCCCCCCTCCCCCGCCCCCATGAACAAATTCACCGCAAGGAAAAGCAACAAATGACATCCTGAAGCACATGACACTAAGCCCCAAACCTAAACCCAAAGCAGCAAAACCCTAAACCCGAAAGCCCCAAACCCAAAACACTAAAGCCCAAAGCCTAAACCCAAAACCCCAAACCACAAACCCTGAAACCCTAAAACCCTAAAACCAAAACCCTAAAGCCCAAAGCCTTAACCCAAAACCCCAAACCACAAACCCTAAAACCCTAAACTCAAAACCCTAAAGCCCAAAGCCTAAACCCTAAACCCAAAACCACAAACCCTAAAACCCTAAACCCAAAACCCTAAAGCCAAAAGCCTAAACCCAAAACCCCAAACCACAAACCCCTAAACCCTAAACCCAAAACCCTAAAGCCTAAACCCAAAATCGCAAACCACAAACCCTGAAACCCTAAACCCTAAAGCCTAAACCCGAAACCCCAAACCACAAACCCTGAAACCCTAAACCCAAAACCCTAAAGCCCAAAGCCTAAACCCAAAACCTCAACACCCTAATCCCGAAAGCCCAAACCGAGCTCCACCGAGGCTCCAGAGGAAGGGCTCCGCCAAGGCCCAGGAGGGCGGCGCCGTTGCGGAACGGGAACCCCGCTTCTGGGCAGGAAGAAAGGTTGCAGTCACAACTGTCAGACTTTATCCTATTGTGTTATAGTTAGTATATTTTAGTAGGTTATAGTACGTTGTAGTTATAGTAGGTCATAGTTTATAACATGATCTAGTACCCTAAACCCTAAACCCTAAACCCTCAAACCGGAATCTAGTATGTTTCAGTAGGTTCTAGTCATCGTATTGCTATAGATATCTATATAATCTTATATTATATTATACTATATTATAGAGTATAGTATGTTACGATACGCCACGCTTCTTCGACTGTCCTTGGGGGCTTCCGGGTCTTGGATTCTTAGGGTTCAGGGCAGAACTCAAAAGTCTTCAGGCTTTCAGGGGTTTAGGGTCTAGGGTTTAGGGTTTAGGGTTTAGGGTTTAGGGTTTAGGGTTTAGGGTTTAGGGTTAAGGGTTTAGGGTTTAGGGTTAAGGGTTAAGGGTTTTTAAAGGGCTGGAGCTTTGTGGAGCTTTGGATGGTTTCGGTTTAGGGTTTAGGGGGTAGGTGTAAGGGCATGAGTTAAGCCCCTAAACCTAAGACCCAGGGAGCGAGAGTTTCTCTGAGCATAGGGTTTAGGGTTTAGGGTTTAGGGTTTAGGGTTTAGGGTTTAGGGTTTAGGGCTGGAGGTGCAAGGGTTCAGGGTTTAGGGGTTATAGGGCTCAGGGGCTTGGGGTTTAGGGCAACCTGCCCCAAACCTAAGCACTGGAATCCTGACTTATGGTAAGCCGTACGGAGTTATGGCGGGTACATCTGGCAGCTTGGCTTTCGAGGAAGCTGGGACAAACCTCGGGCATGGAGTAGCACTGCTACTGGTTTTACGAAAGACGAATGTCTTGATAAGTGCAGGCTTCTTGCCCGCTACAGCGCGGTGAGTGCATCGCTTGCCATGCCAAAGTCTTTGCCTCCTTCACTACAGTTGGAGACGGGACTTTCTGCGCATGGCAGACGCCCCGAATCCCAAACAATGATAGTAATTTCAATTTTTTAGCAACAAGGCGGCAGATGATTGAAATAAGCGCAATAGAAACCACAACGCAAATGATTTCAATAAGTACAATAATAATTCTGATAATAATAGTAATACTAATAATAATAATAATAATAGGAAGAAGAATAGTAAAAATAATAATAATAATAATAGCAACAACAATGCTCATGATAAGAACAGTGGCAGTAACGAAAACAACCCTCACCCTTGGCTCGTCCGGCGAGGCCTGTGCTGCTGGAGCTCGCCTTCGATGAGCACTCGCAGCACGCGTCGCTGTCCTTTTCGGCTGGCACTCCGATGGCTGTGGCGGTTTAGGGTCCTATGGTTTGCCTAAACCCTAAACCCGTAAACCCCTAAACCCCTAAACCCTAAACCCTAAACCCTAAACCCTAAACCCTAAACCCTAAACCCTAAACCCCTAAACCCCAAACCCTAGGGTTCAGGTCAGAATTCAGGTCTTCAAACTGTAGGGCCCAGAGCTCGGTTCGGTTCTGACATGTCAAGTAGAAGCCGGCCGGCAGGGCATGGAACGGTTTAGGGTTTAGGGTTTAGAGTTTAGAGTTTAGGGTTTAGGATTTAGGGTTTAGGGTTTAGGGTTATCAGGGCATATGATATGTGCCGCAGCCGGGGTCGCAATCCTAGCTCACCAAGCTGCTACTGTATGAGGAACAGTAAGTACATAGTGTCGTAGCATGAGTGCAGTAGAGCTAAGCTAGAACAGACAAAGAAGTCATCGTAGAATCGCCATAGTTATCATGGTCAAGCTAGCAAGACCAACAAGTCCCTCCGGTCTCCTCCTTGACCTTTCCGGCTCCTGCCAGCATTGCGGCTGAACCCCACAAGCCAGCGACCTTGATCCAGCCAAGCAACTTGTGCAGCGGGTGGCCATACTTGTGTTACCCTGAAATACCTTATAAAGCTTTGCAAGGTTGTATACTATCTTGTGTGCATCAGAACGCAGCATCTAGAGTCGGGGCAGGCCCGGTCCAGCGCAGATGACATGCCACCATGAGAGTACGGATAAACAAAGGCTTCGAAGTAAGGGCGCATGTCCGTGGAATGCTGGCCACGTCCAGCTGTGAAGTAAGGACGCCACTGCTGGTGGGATGAAGCACAAAGGGCACGCCTCGGAGACAGCTTTCATGGTTTGCAGCATCGCTGGTGACGCCGGCAGCGACGATCACCATAGAAACGGTCAAGATCAAGGACTCGCTGTGCTTCAAAATTAGCCCACGGCTGTCAGCGACAGAGTTGCTATCCCCGAAGCTTGTGCTACTAGTACAGAGTCTTCAGAATGGGTGATGTTGGGAATGCATACGTAGTACATGAACCCACTGACCCCATGATCTTGGAGTCGGAGGCGCCTCGAGTTCCTGCAAGACTTTGTGAACCAGCTTCCAGAAGCCCAAGACCCTTAAAACCTGAACCGCAGAACGGCACCCTGAGAGGCGCACCATTGGAAAGGCCGGACGAATCTATGCGATGCGCGCGTGAAGCTCCGGAAAGTACTACGGTTGAGGGTTTAGGGTTTAGGGTTTAGGGTATGTCTTCCTGATGTATCGAAGGAGCATGCTGCTCTTCTCAAAGCTGCAGCTCTGCGCTCTTTTGTGCCACCGATAAAGCCAACATCTCAGCCGCAGAAAGGTTGAACCAGGAATCATGCCCCCAGCGCTTTAGACAGATCAGGCGACATTGCTGCGCCGGAGCTCCAGATGCAGTAGATGTGGCAGAGGAGCCTCAAACTGTAAAACCTAAACCCCTAAAGCCCAAAACCCAAAACCCCTAAACCCCAAAACCCTAAACCCCTAAGCCCCTAAACCCCTAAAGCCCAAAACC